AATTTGATTGTTTTTTTTTTATTAAAAAAAAAAAAAGCGATCAAGGATGTGGCATCCGAAAACTCAAAGAATCCTAAACGTGATCTTTAAAAAAATAATAATAAAATTTACCAGATATTCTTATATAAATTACACATAAAATTTTAAAATTATAATTAGAAACAATCTTAAGTTAAAATTCATTTTGCTTCATTAGAGTAAATTTTGATTATAATGTATTATTAAAAAAATATCACATAGCCTTCGTTAAAATTAAAGAGAATACCTTAAATGTACGTAATTGAACTCGGCTGCGAACCACGGTATCTTTATTAATTAAATACGGATTTTTTTTTCAAATAGTTAGACCGCCTATTATAAGTACAATATTTGTATGTACTTTAAATTTTTCTTTTCACGAAATAACTTATTACGAAATAACTTATTAGGTGTACTAGATCGGGTCTACTAAATTGATGAAATGAAATAGACCCGGCTTACACTACTGCAATATATTTACCTTCAAAAACTGTATCAATTTTAACTTTGAATAAAATTGCCAATTTATTGCTCGAATTAACGTTAATGCTTTAATTTTTTCGGGTTTAATTCTTTTTATGTTTAGTCACATAATACAGTAATATAATCGAATTTCAGATCCGAATTTTTTCTACTAGAAATTTCATATTTACAGCTACTTTAAATCTTTTTTTAAACTAGACTTCCTTTAGCGTATAAGCGCGAAATAATGCCCTCTTGCGCGTTATTTCGAATATGCCCATGTGTATTATTTCGAAATAAGAGTAGATTTTCTAAATCTCATACAGTCAAACTTCCATAAATGCACGTTGTTGAGTAAAAGTGCATTTATAGAATATTCATTTATGGAGAATAATCTACATATAATAAATAATTACATTAGATTGATCAAATTATGTGCATTTATCATTCATTATATGTGAAATACACTTACAGAGAATGCACAACAATAAATTATGTACTACATTAAAGTTATCGTTATCCGGCAAACTCATATGATCATGAAAAAATTTCTTTCTGTTATTTTTTTCATGTGTTACGATATAATTATGTTATTCCAATATTCAAAAAATAAAACTCAGCGAGCGACTCCCTACCAACCATGATCATAAATTGCCGGATAACACCATTATTGGGCAAATTGTCGAATACGGTAATTTGGCAAATGATTGGCTACACGTGCCGCAAAGCGGCACGTGCTCATTTGCCAAATTGCCGTTATTCAACAATTTTTGCCCAATAATGTATACTTATGATGCGCGTTAATTAGGGATGCCCGTGAACACTAATTCGAGAGCTTATGAATTAGTAAGAAAAACATAAAACCTTCAGCTATTTCTTTGACAATACGCAATTTATCAGTTCGAAAAATTTTGATAAGCGTAAATTACTATAAAAAAAAAAAAATACATACTTTGTATAATAGTGACCATCAATACGTACCAAACAGTTAGTTAATATAATTTATATGAAGGCAATGATTTACATGGATATGTGCAATTTTTTAATAGTTAATAACTAGTTATTTGTTAAAAATTGTTTATAAAATGAACTGTCTGTAAATTAATTATTTTAGTCTATAAATTGATTGTCTATAAAATAAAATGTCTGAAGTGATTGTCTGTATCCGATTTACATATATATATTATATATATAGTTAAAAAATACACACCTTGTAAGCCCATAATTTATACGTAGTTATTGTTCACGAAATGGGCAATAATTGAAAATCAAATCCGGATTAGACGATCGGATAATAACGGAATGGTCACTGCGAATTTGGTTTTTATAATATTTTTCAAATTATACTTTTCAAATTAAAGTTACATACTTTATAGAGTTTTAGCTATAATCGCAAGATTTCTTTTTCTCTAATAGTTAAAAAAATTGTGTTATATCATTAAAAAAAGTAAAAAAATGATTTATAATCAAAAAGAAATATAATGATGAAAAAAAAGTATAAAAGCGTAAATAAGAACCAGGAGTAACATAAAGTTTTACTGATCTTTATCGGTATGTACTGTATAACTTAAGCACGGAATTTTTGTCGACATGTGCTCGGATATTTCTAAAATTCTTATAATCATAGATTTTTTTTCTTATTACATAAGCATAACAATCTCTAATTTAAAACTCAGTTAGCCAATCACGACTTATAAAACACAATAACAAAAATTCTGTCGTATTAAATGGTGTGTCACTGTGCGGACATTTACTCCGACAAAGAAATAAATTTCACGATATTACTTATAACTCTGGCTCAAAAAAGCTATAGTTAAATTAACCTTTACTGTATAGAGAGTTTTCATCATTTGATTTTGCTGCGTAAAGTGCATAAGTGCATACGTACGTGTACTTCGTAACATAACGTAATATGACGAGAATGGCATGTTACATAATCAAACAAACTATATAAATAGTACCGCGGTACGAAATTTTTTTTTCTATTGATTTTTTATTAATAATAATTTATATTCTCGAATATATAAAATTTAAATTTTTATTGAATCAAAAAATTAAATTTATGTTGATCTCGGATAAAATTTTACGATTCAGAAATTTTATAAAGTCTTTTGTTTGAAAAGTTAAATTTCCTGGATTCCAGTCAGATGACTTTCGGTAAGTATAAAATTATATTCTGATTTAAAAATTATGAATTGTGTAACATATTTTTTTTATTTATTTTGCATTGTTCAATAATTAAAAAATTGTTTAGCGCAACAAAATTCATATTCATTTCGAGATCATTCATTAAAAACATCGAATTTTTCGTCGTCACCCACTTTAATTTCAACTCTTGAACATAGTGATATCGATGTATCGTTCACAAGTACAAATAATAAATATGACGAAAATACAACTACTGAATATTTAAATGTTGATATTAGAATATGTACAATGAATTATGTTGGATCAATTAATACTATTCGGGCAGCTAAACCTAAAGATATATCATTTCTCTTTCGTTTTAATCAAGAAGCATTATCTATTTGTTTAAATTCTATGAAAATTGAGATTAGGATTCTTTGAGTTTTCGGATGCCACATCCTTGATCGCTTTTTTTTTTTTTAATAAAAAAAAAACAATCAAATT